TTCTTAGGCAGAGAGATCGGAACGGTACATATGAAGGAACAAAACATCCGCGAGAGTGCAAAGCGTTTAACACCTGGATTGGGATCAGAACCCACAACCTGCCCCTTTTGGCCAGGGCGATCGAATATGTGCGCAACATGCCAACTGCCGATCAGATTGCAGAAATGCCAACCGCCATACCGCCATGCGCCTAACCGCCTTGCAGAAGAAAATGCGGCGTAATTGCAGCGTTGGTTGCGGACGAACACTAGCAGGCAACATTTCGTATGTGCATCGTACATTCCCAGGCCTTCAGCACGACTAGGGTCGGCCAGCACTGCGATGGAAATGATCAGGTGGTTATCAAAAACATGAGAGGGAGGTGTGGCTGCACCGTCGGTCTACAGAACCACTGTCTCTACTACTGTTACACTGCTGTAACAAACGCAACACACCAGCGAGGAGTGGGTCGGGTGTTGGTCACAAGAAGTAGAGGGAGCGACTTCGAGCACAACGCAACATCATGGTCATGACGGCTCACCATGGCTGATCAACCCAGTGGCGCAGGGGAAAACACCCAATTTCCCTCGTGCTCTTCTGTGTATCACCTTTCTGCTGCCGGTGGCCTAGGCAGGACGGTGAGCTTGTGAGTCACCGAGCCAGTCCGATGGAGCGGGGGGGGCGGGATGGGGGGCTCCGCCAAATACAAAATTGTCCCACGTCCACCGCACACACCGCACACACCGCACACAGACACCGGAGACGCAACGTCCTGATGCTCACGACTAGCCGCAGTGGAGCACGGCTAGCTATCTTCGTGGTGGCCACCACCTCCCTTGCTGCTGCTGCTGCTGCTACTGCTGCTGCTGCTGCTGCTGCCGTGGTGAGGCCCTTGTTGTGCTCTTCTGAGTTACGCCGCACTTCGGATCGTGCACGGGTGTTTGAATCTTGTACTCTTCTCAGCAAACGGCGCACTTCCGACAGAGATCACATCAATCGTGGCCTCACGAACGTACCATCACCGACTCAAACCCACAGGTGGCGCGAAAACGCCCGAGGTCCAATGCAGCTCGTCGACGAACCAAGGTGGATTGTGCATGCTGGCGATGGCTGAAGAGGTGTTTCGGGAGCCCGTCCCTGACGACACAACCTCGTCGGCCAGTGGGGGGCTACGAAGGCCTGATTGGCAATACGCCAATGGTACAGCTCCAGAGTCTCTCTGCCGCAACTGACTGCGAGGTTCTTGTGAAGGTCCGTTCCTGGTTCGCCTGGTTGCGCCATGGCCATGGTGGAATATGTGCCGTAGTACCTTGGAGACGTCACGTCGGTGTCTCGCTGGGTGGCGGACAACGTATCCACCACCCAAGTTGAGGTGCAAGAGACAGTCGACTACTGCTTAAATCTACTACAGCAGTAACTGTACATGCGCGTATACGACAAGTGCGATTCCGGGCTGAATGGAACCCATCTGTCCTGTTCCTCCTGTGCGAAGAAATTGCAAGTTTCTCCATGGCCGTCTGGTGTTCATATTGTTGAGGTGGCCAGGCTGTTCACTCCGCAAGTTTATGTTTTGGTAGTCTACCCCATGGTAGGATACACAGCAATAGTCTCCGGTAGTCTAGAACACGAACGCAACTAGCAAGTATTTCGCCCATTCCACTCAAGCCGATTGGATGCCAGAGCAACATGGTATTGTCACAATTCAGCCTGCGCTCCGGATACGGGTACGCCTACGTACGGACCCTCTATCCACAAGCAGGTGGAGTATCTCAACCCCGGCGGAACAAGCAAGGACAGAATCGCGGCGAGCATGATCGAGGAGGCTGAAGCAACTGGGAAGCTGAAACAGGGGGGCACCGTGGTGGAAGGCACGTCTGGGAGCACGGGAATTTGCCTTGCTTCGCTGTGCAGGGCCAAAGGCTACCGCTGCGTCATCGTAATGCCTGACGATCAGGCGAGGAATGAGGAGCAGCATGAAAGCGAACTCCGCAGGAGCGCGGCCTGAAGTGTATGTGTTTCTCATTTGTTCCTTCTTTCAAGCATAAACAGCTTTATGTCGCTGGTTGACGTCCTAGAGTTCCGCGCGACCTCCAAGTTTGTCTTCAAGAATAATTTATGTTATGATTTATAATGGACGGCACCCACTCAGGAGTATTGTCGCAAAAGAGCAGGCTGTGCCGTAAGACTTGCGCTCAATGGAATACGGCGGCTTTTCAATGTGTGGAAGCCGTATGGATATTGGCGTCAATTTTCGTGCCTTATCCTGCGGTCGTCGTCGGTGCGTTGTTCTTGATTGCTGCCAGCCGGCTGCCAGCTGCAGTCCTACCCACGTGCGTACATACCCTACCCTTTTCTACTCTGCGTACCCTCCTCAAGGCTGGTGAAAAGGTGGAGCTGCTGCGTACCTTCGGTGCTGAGGTGATCCAGGTGAGAACCGCATCCATCGCCAACCCCGAGCACTACATCAACGTCGCCGCACGCTTGGCTCGGGAACGGCCTGGCTACGTGTTCATGGACCAGTTCGAGACGGAGGCTAACCTCAAGGCGCATCTAGCTCATACCGGGCCGGAGATTTGGGAGCAGACCAATGGGAGGTGAGAGAGCGGTTCGGATAGCCCGGAATTCTGCGCCTATTCACGCTTTAATCTGGATGGCCTGTGGTCTTATATTTTCATGGCGGTATCGGGTTGATCTTGAGCACAAGCTCTATCTCTTGTCGTGCAGAACGAGTGATTGGCGTTTAATGTATGATATTGTTTCTCGTTTTTGCACACGGTAGGACCGCCCGATTTCGTCAAGGAGTCGTTGCGTGAGTACCGTGATCATCGAGGTCTTGGCACATATCGGGGTCTCGGCACATTCGGGGTCTTGGCACAGGGTGTGCGGGAAAAATACGGGTTCCGAATGATTTGCTAGATTATCGCACAGGTATCGTCGTCTCCGCACAGTGTGCGGAGACACCGAAATGTGAGTGAGGTTTGGCTGTAAGTGATACCCTTTCACCAGCATCTTNACATCTTGTGCTGGAAATCCCGGATACTGTGGGAGCTTGAATCGCGTGCTCCACCGGTACTGCTGCCCTTGGCACCATGACGATGTTCAAAAATGTGGTATTTGTACTCTTTGTTCTCTTCTTTTCGTTCTGAAGAATCAAGATCGGCAAATCGGCAAACGGCATCCACTCAACAATTCTTAACGCAGATGAAACCAAAAACGAAGTAAAACATCACACCAAACTACCACCACGAGCTACCAACGTCCTACTACTGTACTTCCTAGGCGGGTTGAACTTTACTTCGTGCCCGCGCCCCTACCATCGCAATAACATCCAATCTCACTGGCAATCCCAAAGAAATATGATTCAAAGTTCGACTACTTCTCCTTCGGCGCCCCCGCCCCCCTGCCCCTCCACGACTTCCACGTCGCTGTCGCCCTCCAAGACCTCCACCTCGCTGTCGCTCTCATCAGCGACGTAGGGCAGCAGCTTCCCCTCGACCTCCTTCTGAGCAGCCGTGATGGGGTTGGAGTCGAACCCCCCTGGTACCTTAGGCAGCTTGAGCGGCCGGAGAGTCGCGTCGGGGTGCTCAGCGAGCCACACGGCGTGCTGCTCCTCGAGAACGTGGCGGTAGTCTTCCCCGAAGTTGTGCTCGCACCAGGCGTGGTCTTCGCTGCCGTCGAGCGCGAGCGTGAGACCGCAGATCTTGAAGCAAGTCTTCACCGTCTCGGGGGTGATGGACTCCCACGCTTCCTTGCACCACGTAGAGACGACCCCACGCTCCGGTGGCTTCAGCTTCCCCGACCGGGCGTCTGCGACCGCCGACGCGCTGTAGGCGGTGTACTTGCCCCGCAGCAGCCGCTTCATCTGCTTGTTGAGCATGCGGTCGAGCGGTTGGAGCAAGGGCTTCAACCCGCCTGGGACGAAGATGACGATGGTGTTGGCGTCTCTCTTGAGGGCTGCGATGAAACCCTCGTCCTTGTGGCGCTTGAAGTCGTCCAGTACCAGGATGCACGGGCGCTGCTGGACGATGCTGCCGTTGTTGGGACGGAGCTTCCAGCTGCCCGAGATCCACCCGTTGCACTCCCGCTGGTCACTCCAGCTCTTCTCCTGCACGCCGAAGGACATGCCATTGGCAGGGTGGCCGTGCTTGGCGCGGTTCGCAAGATGGATCTCCCACGCGACGGAGTTCTTCCTCGGCGGGGTGCTCTTGCCCTTTCCGCTCACGGTCGGGGGGATGAACGGCGTGCCCTTGAACATGATGCGCGGCGAAACCTTTTTGCCGTCCGCCATGACAGCCAGATCGAGCGTGAAGCGTTCCTTCTCTTTGCCTGAGGGGGGGGGGGGGGGGGG